CCGCACGTTGCTGACCTGCCTGACTACGCCTTATGTTACCCAGATCATCCATCCATCCCGCACGGATCTGTCCCTGTTACCAGGTCTGCCAGTCTCTTCACGTCAGGCTCCTTTCCCTGCACACCTCTGATGACGCTCTCTACCATTGTGGGACGTACTCAGGGGTCGCGACCTGGTCTCAGTCTGCTCCAAGTCCATCCCCACCATCAGGGACCCTGGTGAATAAGCAGATTGGGACTTAGACTCCGCGCCCTGAGGAATCCCGTGCTGTGGGCTGCTAGAGACAACGCCAGGCGGTGCTTAACAGTACCAAACGGCCAAATGTCGGAGCCTGGAAGAGGACCATCCCCATTGGAGGATATATGCCAGCACCTGGCGGCACTAACCCAGGCAGTAAAGACGCTGCAGGAGGGTTATACCCACTTGGAAGGACGGATTCAGACGTTGACTACTTCCGCCCCTGCATCCCAAGATTCGGGTCCCTCATCGTCGGCCGGAAGCCTCCCGGAAACGCCTGCCGGAGCCACAGCCTCTATGCCTGTACCAGAACCTCGTGTGCCTACATCGGAGCAGTTCAATGGGGACCGCACTAAGTTCAGGGCCTTCCGCAATGCCTGCCAGCTCTACTTCAGTCTGCAGCCATGGACATTTTCCACGGAATCCGTGAAGGTGGGATTTGTCATTTCGCTGCTGCAGGACGAACCCCAGGCCTGGGCCCACCATTTACTGGAGACCCGTCAACCACAGCTGGAGTCGGTTTTAACCTTCTTTGTGGCAATGGCACTTCTTTATGATGACCCACAACGAACAGCTTTGGCCGAATCGGCCCTACAAACACTCCGACAGGGTCGTAGGGCGGCCGAAGAGTATGCGGCAGAATTCAGGCGTTGGATGGGGGATACGCAGTTGAACGATGCGGCCCTGCGCCACCAGTTCCGCAAAGGTTTGTCTGAGCCATTAAAGGACGAATAAGCCAGGGTTGGTATACCAGCCATGTCCCCGGCCGGGGCGGGAATTTTCTTTGTTGAGAAGAAAGATAAATCCCTGAGACCCTGCGTGGACTACAGGGAACTAAATAAGATCACGGTAAAGAACCGCTACCCACTTCCCTTGGTGCCAGAATTATTTCAGAGGCTCAGAACAGCATCCATTTTCACAAAATTGGATCTACGGGGGGCTTACAATTTGGTCCGCATTCGGGAGGAAGATGAGTGGAAGACAGCCTTCCGTACTAGGTTTGGGCATTTCGAGTATTTGGTGTGGCCCTTCGGTCTGTGTAATGCCCCAGCAACCTTTCAACACTTCACCAATGATGTGTTCAGAGATTTTCTGGACGTTTTTGTGGTCATCTATTTAGATGACATCCTGATTTTCTCTGCGTCCCTGGAAGAGCATAGAGGTCACGTTAGAAGTGTGCTGGGACGGCTCCGTCAACATGGGCTGTACGCAAAGGCAGAGAAGTGCAGTTTTGAGCAACACAGCATTTCCTTCTTGAGTCTAATCATTTCCACCACTGGAGTAGCCATGGACCCCCAAAAGATCTCTGCGATTCTGGAATGGCTGGTGCCGGTGGACAAGAAGGGTGTGCAGCGATTCATTGGCTTCGCCAATTTTTATAGAAAATTTATAAAAAAACTTTTCAGGCCTCGTGTCCCCCATCACCCAACTCACCAGACAAGGGTTGCGTTTTAGGTGGTAATCTGAGGCACAGATGGCCTTCGAGTCCTTGAAGAGGCTGTTCACCGAGGCCCCCATACTGAGCCACCCGGATTACTCGTTGCCCTAAATTCTGGAGGTAGACGCGTCTGAGAACGCGGTAGGGGCTGTGCTATCCCAGAGGAAGGGTGTCAAGGAACTGATGCACCCTGGGGCCTTCTTCTCCAGAAAACTTTCAACTGCGGAGAGGAATTATGATATTGGGGACCGGGAACTTCTGGCCATCAAGGCAGCATTAGAGGAGTGGAGGTACCTACTGGAGGGAGCCACACATCCAATCCTGATTTTCTCGGACCACAAAAATCTGGAGTACCTGAGGATGGCGAAGCGCTTGAGGCCACGTCAGGCTAGGTGGGCAATCTTTTTCTCGAGGTTTGTGTTCCACATCACATACAGGCCGGGATCAAAGAACACAAAACCCGACGCACTCTCGCGTATGTTTGAAGACCCTGAAGAACCCCACAAACCGGACACCATCCTGTCTATTGGGAATTTCCTTGCTCTACAGACCGAGCTACGGTCGGAGTTTCATTGCAAAGTAAGGAAGGACTTTGGTGGAAGGAGGGATGGATCATGGTGCCCGAAGAGTCCTGTACCGCAGTTTTGGGTCACTGCCATGATCATCCTTTGGCTGGCCACTTCGGGGTACGGAAGACATTGGAACTGCTGCAACGTGTGTTTCTGGTGGCCCAGCATGACTAAGGATTGTGAAGCGTATGTGAAAACCTGTGCGGTCTGCCAGAGAAACAAGCCCTCCAGGAGCAAGGCTTGGGGTCTGCTACGACCCTTACCCATACCTAACAGGCCATGGGAGATGATTTCCGTCGACTTCATCGTGGAGCTCCCACGCCTGTCCAAAATGGCCCATTTCCTGCCTCTGAGGAACACGCCATCAGCTGCAGAGACAGCACAAGTCTTCGTGAAGGAAGTGGTAAGATTTGATGGGGTCCTAAAGGACATCATCTCAGATAGGGGGATTCAGTTCACCTCTAAATTCAGGAGAGCACTGTGCGAGACCCTGGGAATCAAGCTGTCGTTATCTTCGGCATACCATCCATAGACCAACGGGCAGACGGTACGCACAAACCAGACTCTGGAGCAGTATCTCCGGTGCTACACTTCTTTCCTCCAGGAGGATTAGCTGACTCTCTTACCACTGGCCGAATTCGCATATAACAATGCAAGCCACTCTGCTACTCAACAATCTCCATTTTTCGCCAATTACAGATTCCATCCCACATTTCTACCCAACACGATTCCAGAGAGTCCAGTACCAGCTACACAGGATATGTTACAGTTCTTCTCAGCGAATAACAAGGTTCTACAGGAGGCTATCACAAGAGCCCAAGAAGATAGTAAAAAGGCCTTCGATAAGAGGAGGAGAGGCGAACTTGTTCTGCACCCTGGGGACCAGGTCTGGCTAGCCACAACAAAACTGAAAATGTCTTGCCCATCAAGGAAATTAGGACCAAAATTCATGGGTCCATTCAAGGTGAAACGGAAAATTAACGAGGTGGCATATGAACTCGTACTCCACGAATTCTTTAAAATACACCCAGTTTTTCACGTGTCCTTGTTGAAACCCGCGGCACCGGATCCATTCCTGAACCAGAGATCTAGACCTCCGGAGGTCATTAACATTGATGGGGAAGAGGAATTTGAGGTCGAAACAATTCTAGATTGCAGGAAAAGGAGAGGCCAGACCCAATTACTCATTAAATGGAAAGGCTACGGCCCGGAGGAAAACTCATGGGAACCAGCCCAGAACATCCATGCCTCTAGACTAATTCGGGAGTTTTCTTGTAATCACCCACACAGGAGAGAACAATTGGGCATCCGGCGGCTGCCCGTAGGGGGGGGGGCAATGTCAGGAATCGGTGGTTCTGCGGCGATGCGCTGGGCGGCGCATGCGCAGAACACCGATGCTCTCTAGCCAGCAAGCAGCGGGACCTGGGCGATCGCGACAGCCGCGCATGCGCACTTGTGATCGCGGACACGCACCTGGCACCAATGACAGCGCAGGGCGGGCTATTTAAACAGGACAGGAGGTATGTCAAATTGCCGTTTGGTCTTATCTGCCCTGTTCCTGATATCTGATCCTGTGAATCTTCTGTTGCCGACCTCTGCATTGTTCCTGACCCTGCTGACCTTCTCCTGTTTAACCCATGGCGTGCCTGACCATCCTTCTGTCTGATACTCTGTACCACGCTGCCTGCTAGTTACTGAACCCGGCTCATGACATTGACCATTCTCTGCATGCTCCTCCGGCACCTCGCTGCCCACACGTTGCTGACCTGGCCTGCCTGACTACGCCTTACGTTACCCAGACGATCCATCCATCCTGCACGGATCTGTCCCTGTTACCAGGTCTGCCAGCCTCTTCACGTCAGGCTCCTTTCCTCGCACGCTCTCTACCATTGCCGGACGTACTCAGGGGTCGTGACCTGGTCTCAGTCTGCTCCAAGTCCATCCCCACCATCAGGGGCCCTGGTGAATAAGCAGATTGGGACTTAGACCCTGCGCCCTGAGGAATCCCGTGCTGTGGGCTGCTAGAGAGAGACACCGCCAGGCGGTGCTTAACACTGAGGTAACTTTACACAATAGCTGCCTGTGGGGAACTCTGTAAAATACATTAGCAAAAGCTAGGCATACTATATACACAGTCACTCTTTTGTCTTCCTCCTAACTTCCTCATAAAAAGGTACATTTGTTTGAAAATGTTGGTCTTTTGTAAATTTTTGCTGACTATTATTTTTATTAGTGTTACCTGGCTAAATTCTTTTATATTGTTCTTTATCAAACTATCAAGTATCTTCCCAAATACAGGCATTAAAAATCAATTCCATACTTTTTTATTAGTCCTACAAATGACCAGAACTCGATGCCAAGATTGTTCCTACTCCATAGACTTCAGTGAAATTTGTGTCAAAGCTTGAATTTTGAGCACAATTCACCAAACAGCCCAAGAGTGGAATCTAGGCTGATTTGCTTATTGCTAGGTATGACACAATAATTCTCCCAGAGTACAATCTTCTTTAAGAGGCACAGTGACTATAATAGATTACACAGGGACAATGATGAAGAAGTAAAAGATAAAGTATTAAGTATCTACAAGAGGGAATTTCTGAGAATACCTGTTCTGTAGATCTTACTTTGTCTACTTACTTCCTTGTCCACTTACTTCCATTTCGGTTTTAATAGATATTAACACTGGTTGTCTACCCCTTCGTTTTAGCCAATGCAAATTCAGAGAGGACAGCATAGTTATAACCAGTCATTGTCTCTTACGTGTAGCTGTTTTGCTGCTGCCGACGTCGGGCTGTCCTCATTTTCTCAAACCTGGCTTCCATCTCCTCCAGCACTTTTGGGGTGTAGCGCACAACCAGCTTTACTGTCCCTTGTGCTGCCTTTAGAAGCTCCACTGCTTTCTCATGTTGTTCTCCTTCCACACTCTGCGGAGGGATGAGAAGCAAAATGGGTATAATATTCGAATATTACAATAGATTTATAACAAGTAAATTTATATCATGTATACAACCTATTAGCATAGTAATTGGTTTTAGGAGTTTTTTTTGTGGTGATTGTTCTTGACATTTTCTTCTGCATTAAATCACCCACACTTTATGTTAAGTGTTCAAAGGTCCTGTCAATCTGAAATAGTACAAGCCTATCCAGTAAAATATTAAATGAAATCTATTACTCTTTTTTCACAGGTATACCATCGTCAAACTGCCAGAATTGTTGGGGGCTGGCACAGTGTTTAAAGCGTACTTACACTTTTGCACGTGGGTGTGTGCACTTTATGCCGATCCCAAGGAATTTATTTATTATGCAGGATTCACTCAGTGCAGCTTGCTATCTGTAAAGGCACACCCCAGGGTTGCTTGGTCTCTCCCTTCCTCTTTGCCCTAGTGCTTGAGCCACTGGCAGCTTCTATCTGAAACAACCTGGACATATCAGCATACAATTTGTATGTTTGCTGGGAATATAATCCTCTTTTTAACTAACTTGTTGTCCAGATTTGAATCTTGGGATTTCAGGTCAATCAAAATAAATCCAGAGACCTGAACATCAATCTTACACAACTTCAGCTTCAATTGGTTTTCCCTTTTGAGTGCCACACGACAAACCTGCCAGACCTTGGGACCCAATTACGATGTATTACCTTTGGCAAATATCTCGTACCTTTACACGACGAACCAAGCAACTCCTTGAATCCTGGAAATGCTATCAAATGCTACAAAATTTTGAAGCTCAGTCATATCAGTGTTTAAAATGTCTGTCCTCCAAAAGATTTTGAATCTCATGACAGCATTACCAATTGGTATCTAACATATTGCATTTATATAAATGTGCCTTCATTTATTGTGGAGGGCTCTTGACCTCACATTTCAGAACAGTGAACTATCTGTCCTGCATATCTCTAATTCCTACCGTGTGCTCAGATGGGGCCTGATTTTCCATGACTGGAATCTACATACAAACTATCATTCCACTAGCCACTGAAAAGGGTCTTATTGGTTGCTGAGAATGATGCACTGAGCAGTGGAATGGCAGTTGGCATGGCTTTGCAATAAATTCAGGGAAAGTCAAGTCCCAGTACAACGTGAAGCTTAATCAGACAGGAGCATGCAGGGGTGAACTGACCATTTAGGCACTCGGGCACTGCCCGAGGGCCCGGGGTCAGTAGGGGGCCCCATGAGATGCCCCTGGTACCTTTCATAGGCTTTTTTGGGATGTGGTTTGAGTGTGAGCGAAGACACAGGGGCCCCATGATTTCCTATTGTCCGGGGACCCCATGAGTTGTCAGTCCGCCCCGGGAGCATGAAAGAAGCTTTTAAATCTAAAAGTTGTTTTAGCAGCATTTTGTGTAACACAAACTGAGTCTCCCACTAGGACAAGAAGATTAGATGCCTAGGATTTGTGGCACCAAGCAAAGGGACCATTACTGCTTGGCAACTCTCCTCGATCCATGTTATGAGGGGAAAATCGCAGAGCTCATCCTACCCTTGCAAAGGTAAAAGAGGATTAAACAACTGGAGGAAGCCCTACAGAGGAACTTGTGTTAATAATTTCCAGAGCTTGTCAGTAAAAGAGGAGTGGCAGTGCCTTTAAATACATTTTCAGTCTCAGTGTAAAGAACTGTCTGCTGCAAGCACCTATCGGCAGCAGCTCCATCACATGATGGCCAATAACCTGGGGTTAAAAACAGATGTAGTGACCATCTGAATGGATGAACACTCTGACTGCTAAGTCATGAGCATGGACCACTGTCCCGAGTTTGCCCAGTATACAGTTGAGCCACAGGGCTGCAGCCTGTGTTCTCTCTGAACATACATTCAGTACTGCAGGGGGAGACCATGTGATAGACAAAAAAGTGTGTCTGTCCATGGACACTGTTGACTGGCAGAAATGTGTGAAAATGAACCAGTCTTGGATCAGCAGCAGCTACCAAACCCACTGCTGTAGATGTTGGTGTTTAAACATTTGACGGATCTTGCCATCTTCATTTTCTCCTTTCACTGCTGCAGGTTACAAAAAATCTTACATGCTTCCACCATTGCCAAGTTCAGTCCCAACAACTATTAGCACATCCCCCTCTACCTGGCACTGGTAACATCTCCCACTACTGTTGTAGGCCTGCTACCACTATCGTCTTAAAAGAGGGTCATTGCTGCTGTTCTTTGCAAAAGCAATTCTAATGCGGCGGTCTAATTTTTTAGCAGTTGTTTCACAGCTACAAATGCTGTGCAATTTAAAAATGTCTGTCTTGTGCTCTGAAGTATTTTATCTGTGGGATTATTGTATTTGGGCACCTTCAACACTCAAAACCTATTTTTGTGGCTGTGTAATGGTAGCACAAAAATTTAAATTTTTGGAACGGGTCAATCCTCTCCTCCTCAAGAATATTTGTGTTTTGTTATGGTGCTTTGTCTCTTTTAACATGGAAAATAAAATTTTTCCAAAACTTCTTACAGATGTAGAATTGTTCCATTTTGAGCTGGGTTAATATTGTGTTTAATTAAGTAGGTGAATATTGTGTTTAATTATTAAATATTTTGGCTGAACTGCAGTGTGTTATCATTAAAAGAGGACAACACATTATATTTCCTCATGCTGTTCTTTAGTTGTGAAATTTTATAAAAAGTACTGTGCCCTAACAGCGGTTCCTTACATAAAAATTGCCTAATCTCTCTCTTTACCTCTAATTCCACAAAACATATTTCTCCTTTGTCCCAGGAAGAAAAAAATTTAATTTTTGGATTTATAGACGAAGCCTGTCTGCTCTCTCCCTCTCAAATTGCTGATGGGCGCCTTTTACCTTCTGTGCAGAAAATCAGTATGATTTCTATGATAAAGTGCAGCACTATAAATAAGTGTAAATAATAATGTATTAAAACACTATATTAAATAGTTCATAAAGTGCTTGGTGACGTGAACGGGAGTCCTGTGTTTATCTAGATCTCGGTGCTTGTGCAGTCAAAAAATGAGAAGAATGCACACTCACCAGAGCGCATAATAAAATGTGCATTTAGGTATAAATATCCTGATGTCATCAAGGTCATCCAGGTCTGGACAAGAATGAAGTGAAATCCCTCACTGGATAGGCTTAAATCCTGAAGCATCTGGTTTGTACTGGGTCCTGGATATCAGAGATCCTTTGCAAGCTGTTTTGTAGTCACTGTTGTATTCCATGCACCTTAAAAACCATGCAGCCCCTCCAGTGGTTTTTATGTACTTATTTATAGCGCTGCACTTTATCACATTTTGTCTGTTTGAGGTTTATTGGTTACCTTAGTGCGTAGCAGCTCATAGTGCGCTCACAATTATCTACTTATTTATTAGTATGATTTCTATATTGTGTGTCAAAAAATAACAGTCTGATTATTACTGGCCTAAATATAACATCTCTCTTCATCCTAAATAATAAAAAAAAAAAGTGTTAATGTACATCGATAAGTTAAATAGTTCAATAGTGTGTCCTAAAAAAAATACATGTTTTATTTGCTGGCTGAAATAAGCCTCCATTATTGCCTAATCTCAAAAAGTATTAGAATTGGTTTGAAAAATGTGTAAAATTTCCAGTATCGGTGTGGATCTAAATTCAATTTCCCTTACAATTTCATTATAAGGATGAGATTCTTTGGAATTTTTAACCACTTGCCATCAGCCCTAGAGCAGGTTTACTGCTACAAGGCAGACATTCTGTGCAAAATTAAGTATAGAAACCTGATTTTGCACTTCCGCCACTGGGGGGCACCTGCAATCAGGGCGCCACTTCTGCAGTAGTTGGACACAGCAGCAGCCAATCAACAGGTGCCATCCATTAGATGAGAGCCATCACCTGTTGATCGCTGATCTGACACAACACAGCTCTGCCTATGTAAACAAGACAGAGTTATGTTAGGTCAACAGCGATCTGATAGATTTTATTCAGGGAATAAATCTAGCAGATTTACTAGTAAAAACAGCACATAGTAAACACATAAACACTGGCTAGGCACACCCTTTGATCACCCTAGATGTTTAGCCCCTTCCCAGCTAGTGTTATTAGTACAGTGTCGGTGTATAATTTTAGCACTAATCACTGAATCAGTGTCACTGGTTCCCACAAAGTGTCAAATCACTGATCGCTGCCATTACTAGTATAAAACTAGTATAAAATAATATATATACTGCCATTTGTAGACACAACAACTTTTGTGCAAACCAATCAATACAGTGCATCCAGAAAGTATTCACAGCCCTTAACTTTTGCAATATTTTGTTATGTTACGGCCTTATTCCAAAATGGATTAAATTCATTTTTTTCCTCAACATGCTACAAACAATACCCCATAATGACAACGTGAAAGAAGTTCGTTGTGAAATCTTTGCAATTTATTAAAAATAAAAAACAAATAAAAACACATATACATAAGTATTCACATCCTTTGCTCAATATTTTGTTGAAGCACCTTTAGCACCAATTACAGCCTCAAGTCATTTTGAGTATGATGCTACAAGCTAGGCACAACCTATTTTTGGGCAATTTCTCCCATTCTTCTTTGCAGTACCTCTCAAACTCCATCAGGTTGGATGGGGAGTTTTGGTGCACAGTCACTTGCAGATCTCTCCAGAGACGTTCAATCGGGTTCAAGTCTGGGCTCTGCTTGGGCCACCCAGGACATTCACAGAGTTGGCCCATAGCCTCTCCTTTGTTATGTGGGCTGTGTGCTTAGGATTGTTGTCCTGTTGATAGATGAACTGTCGCCCCTGTCTAAGGTCCAGAGCGCTCTGGAACAGGTTTTCATCAATGATGTCTCTTTAAATTGTTGCATTTATCTTTCCTTTTGTCCTGACTAGTCTCCCAGTTCCTGCTGCTGAAAAACATCCCCACAGCATGATGCTGCCACCACCATGCTTCACTGTATGGATGGTATTGGCCAGGTGGTGAGCGGTGCCTGGTTTCCTCCAGACATGGCGCTTGGCATTCAGGCCAAAGAGTTCAATCTTTGTTTCATCAGACCAAAGAGTTTTGTTTCTCATGGTCTGAGAGTCCCTCAGGTGCCTTTTGGCAAACTCCAGGTGGGCTTCCATTTGCCTTTTACTGAGGAGTGGCTTCTGTCTGGCCACTCTACCATACAGGCCTGATTGGTGGAGTGCTGCAGAGCTGGTTGTACTTCTGGAAGGTTCTCCTCTCTCCACAAAGAAATGCTGGGGTTCTTTCAGAGTGATCATCGGGTGTTAGGTTACCTCCCTGGCTAAGGCCCTTCTCCCTCGATTGCTCATTTTGGCCTGGCGGCCCACTCTAGGAAGATTCCTGGTGGTTCCAAACTTCTTCCATTTACGGATGATGGAGGCCACTGTGCTCTTTGGGACCTTCAATGCTGCAGAAAGTTTTCTGTACCCTTCCCCAGATTTGTGCCTTGATACAATCCTGTCTCGGAGGTCTACGGACAATTCCTTGGGCTCCATGGCTTGGTTTGTACTCTGACATGCACTGTTAACTGTTGGACCTTATATAGACAGGCTTATGCCTTTCCTAATCATGTCCACTCAAAGCACACCTAAAAAAGGTAACAGGCATTTCAGGGGACACCCTACTGACCCTGGGCCCTCGGGCAGTGCCCAAGTGTTCGAATGGTCAGTCTGCCTCTGCATCCCTCCAATATACATACATACACACACAAAGTATTTTTTTAGGTATGTCAAATTATTGCTCAATATCTCAAAAATTGTGGCCTGTAAAATCAGGCTTTTTTGCAGTGGTGCAAACCTGTATGCGATTTCCACATCAGTGAACAAAAGAATAAAAAAACACACTATATATATATTTTTTTTATGGATGCTAAGCTTATTTGTATTAATCTGAATAATCTTGACATCTGAAAAATGTACTTTTTGAGGAATCCAACACATTTACTTCTTTGACTGTAGTGATACATATTCACTATAACTTGAGAACATGCACTACTGTGTCACACATTTCTCAGTCCCTGTCTTCAGAATTACATGAATTAGGTGCTGATAAAAAGGAGCCTCAAGAGACACACTAATGCAGGCCATAGATGGGGAGAAAACCGGCCGATTTTTCTTTAAAAAAACGAAAAATCGGTCGTTCAAGCAGCCGACGTTACCAGAAACGGTAAAAAAAATCGTCCGATTTTCATCCCGTCTACAGCCGGCAAAAAGTGTCCCTGCAGAGAGCTCCACTATTTCTTTGACAGTTCTTTGACATTTATAGCGGTTGCAACAATGTATCTATTTGTATCAATTTAGGATACAGATGTTTTTATTCGGAAACAAATAGATACATTGTTGCAACCGCTATAAATGTCAAGGAACTGTCAAAGAAATAGCGGAGCTCTCTGCAGGGACACTTTTTGCCGAACTGGAATTCCTCTTCTTCATCCTCTTCTTCTTCTTCCTCTTATACTTCTTCATCCTCTTCTTCCTCTTCTTCATCTTCCTCTTCTTCTTCATCCTCTTCTTCATCCTCTTCTTCTTCTTCAACCTCTTCTTCTTCTTCTTTATCCTCTTCTTCTTCTTTATCCTCTTCTTCTTCATCATCATTCTCTTCTTCTTTTTTTCTTCTTCATCCTCTTCTTCTTCTTCTTCTTCATCCTCTTCTTCTTCTTCTTCATCTTCTTCATTCTTCTTCTTCTTCTTCTTCATCCTCTTCTTCTTCTTCATCCTCTTCTTCATCCTCTTCTTCTTCATCCTCTTCTTTATCCTCTTCTTCTTCATCCTCTTCTTCATCCTCTTCTTCTTCTTCATCCTCTTCTTCTTCTTCCTCTTCTTCCTCATCCTCTTCTTCTTCTTCTTCTTCTTCCTCTTCTTCATCTTCTTCATCTTCTTCATCCTCTTCTTCAGCTTCTTCACCCTCTTCTTCATCTTCCTCTTCTTCTTCATCCTCTTCTTCATCCTCTTCTTCTTCTTCTTCAACCTCTTCTTCTTCTTCTTCATCCTCTTCTTCCTCTTCTTCTTCTTCATCCTCTTCTTCTTCTTCATCCTCTTCTACTTCCTCTTCTTCATCCTCTTCTTCTTCATCCTCTTCTTCTTCTTCCTCTTCTTCCTCTTCTTCTTCCTCTTCTTCATCCTTTTCTTCATCCTCTTCTTCCTCTTCTTCTTCTTCCTCTTCTTCTTCATCCTCTTCTTCTTTTTCTTCTTCTTTTTGTCTTCCTCTTGCAGGTCATTGCTCATGCGCAGATTTTTTTATCGGTAAAAAGATCGGCCGATTTGCCCATAATTGCCGCAAACTTTACCGATAAAAAAAATCTGCCAAAATACCGAAAAACGGCCGAACAATTAGCCCACTATCGATCCGAAAATCGGCCAATTTTATTTTCGGCCAAAAAATCGGCAGATTTTCGACCCATCTATGGCCTGCATTAGTATAGGAAACAAACCACATGTGGAATCATCATTGCTTGCAGACAGTAGTTGTTGCGATATATGGTCCTTAAAAATCTAAAGTAAATCAAAGGAATGAGCAGAGAAGAAGGTGCGAAGCATGCAGAGAACCCAGTAACTGTTGAAAGAGATGATCACAAATAGGCAGCACACACAGCATAAATATAGTTTTTTTCAAGTAAGCTTATATTGGAAGGACAGAAATTACTATAGCTATCACAATGTCGATGTATTAAAACAGAAGTGTATGCTGTATCTTTAGAACTCCTTTAAAATGATAATAAACCATCAGTTTTAAAGACTTTTAGCGGCTGATTTAATTACCTACTGAATATAAAGCCATTTATAACTCTGCCCCAAATTACATCACCAATTTTGTCTCCAAATATCACCCAAACCATACTCTCTGCTCCTCGTACGACCTCCTGCTCTCTAGCTCCCTTGTCTCCTCCTCCCATGCTTGTCTCCAGGACTTCTCCAGAGCTTCCCCATCCTCTGGAACTCTCTACCCCAATTTATCAGACTATTGTCTACTCTGCTCACTTTTAGGCGATCTCTGAAAACCTATCTCTTCAGGGAAGCCTATCCTGCTCTCAGCTAATAATGGAATCTTCTACTCCTCCTACCAGTCTATCCCCCACAGTTACTACCTTTTGTACCACTAGTCCCTCCCTCTTAGATTGTAAGCTCCAAGGAACAGGGCCCTTCTAACCCTCTTGTATTGAACTGTATTGTTGCTGTATTGTCTCCCTTTATATTGTAAAGCACTGAGCAAACTGTTGGCGCTATATAAATCCTGTGTAATAATATGTAGCCTCTTTATATGCTGTTCCTTTCCGATTTTCCTGTTTTCCGCTGGTGCCATGATCACTGCCCTAGATTCCCTTGTTTAAAGTGGCTCTTTTCTCTTGTAGAGTCCTCTGTGTCTCCTTACACTGTGTGCATCAGTAGAAACACGACACATAGCCTCTTGGTCCAGGATGGCAAAGCACTGCCTTTCTCCTCACCCCCCCCCCCCCCCCACACACACACACACCTCACCACCCCTACTCCTTCCCCATTCTCCATTGTTCCAAGCTTCCAAGCTAACAGACTGTCTGAAGACTCCACTGTCCATTATTAACTCATTCCTGTGCAGACCAGAAGTTAAGGAAAGCAGCACTGAGGGAGCAAGAGTAGTAGTTTACCAGGTAATGATATTTATTTGATTGTGATCAATGTGTTAAGCTAAAAAAACACTGAGAGTTTAATACTACTTTAACTTTCCTGTAGATTCACTCACCACTCCATTGACAGACAGGAGCTGATCTCCACGTTTCAGCCCTCCATGACGGTCAGCCACACCACCAGGAATGATGCGTGAGATGTAAATAGGAGAGTTTTGCTCTTTTCCTCCCATAATATTAAACCCAAGTCCTTCATCAGTTTTAGGAAGTTCAACTACTCGTGGATGGGCATGACCTTCACTAGCTGCAAAAGCAGCAACTGTGGCCTGAAAAGAAAGAAAAATAAAGATAGAGGACCCCCCAACAGTTTGTTCAGCATTCTCCATGCTTTGCTATGATACCAATAAAAAGAAACTCCATGTATACCCATACAGAGAATTAGAAAAGCAAACTCTTTATATTGGCTGATACAACATTCATACAAATTATACTAAGCCCTACTCTTTTTACAAGTGAAGTCCATATCAATAACGGTAGTGTTTTGCTTTATGTTTGTAGAAAAGGGAGTAGGAGTGATAGATAGTTAAGATAAGCCCTACCCTCAGAGTCAGCAAAGTCCTATCAAAAAGAATGTTACTGTATCCTGATTATTGCTTTAAAAGTGTTAGGGTTGACTATATTGTGGCACAACTTTTTTTATTATCATAATATATTGTTTCAATAAGGTAACATTTAGGCTGTCCTCCATTGTGAAAATAACAACTCACTCCAAAAGGAAAAAAGGACTTCTGGGTAACACCTCACCCACTGGATGTTTAAAATAAACCTGTCAAGAGAAAAGTACAAGGGCTGCCATTGCTGACCTACTTAAATGGTAGTTATCTAGGTTTTATGATTCAATCATTTCTGAGCCACTGACCTGGAACCAGGGGCGGACTGACCATTTGGAAACTTGGGGGACTGGGGTCAGTAGGGGAAATTCTGAAGGACCCTCTGCACACTGGTATATACGCTTTCAAGCAAACTATGCAATAAATAGGGATATTTGGTTCACACATATTGCAATACATGCTTAAGCTGGCCAACTGCGTCAAAGTAATCCCTCTATGGCCAGTCCTACTCTGCCCTGCCTACACAAGTGCTACTGTGGACACAATGCTAGCATAGGGGAAAAGACACAATGGGGAGAGCTACAAGGTTCAGGTCTGGCTACTGACCCAACAATACAACAAACAAGAGATCCCTGTGCTCAAATCCATACAGCTAGTGCATGCATTTATCCATCAGGTGCTAAAGGGGTGTAACCACATTAACTCTAGAAATTCTGAAGGACCCTCTGCACACTGGCATATACCCTTTCAAGCAAACTATGCAATAAATAGGGATAGGGGTCAGTAGGGGGCCCCATGAGATGCCCCTGGTACCTTTTTCATAAGCTTTTTTGAGTTTGGGCAAGGACACAGGGGCCCCATGATCCCCTATTGCCCAGGGGCCCCATGAGTTGTCTGTTCGCCCCTGCCTGGAACAAGTAGGCAGAGCAGCCAGGGCAGAAAAAAATCATAAAGCCATGAAATGACCTTTCAGCCTTTCTCCTTCACCTTACACCTTTGTCTGCAAATAGGTATAACTGTTCACACTTGTTACATCTTTTGATCTAAATCCTGCATTCCCCTCTAATAGACACAGACATCTCCCTAAATCTTTGAAGAATTATTCTTCCTTCCATTCCCTTCCCCCCACTTGAAGACCAAGCCTTTTCTGGCACTTTTTGTTTACATGTAACAATTGGTATTTTTTGCTCAAAAATGTCCTAGAACCCTCAAATATTATATACTTTTTTATAGCAGAGGCTCTAGAGAATAACTTAGTGGGTTTTGCGCAACAGTTTTTCAAATGCAATTTTTGGGGAAAAAAACATAATACATAACCCAAATTTGTTTGTAAAATATAAAAGTTGATGTTACTCCGAGTAAATAGATACCAAACATGGTACACTTTAAAATTGTGCACGCCCGTGCGATGACGAGAAACGATGTAGGTTAACACTTTAGATTTACAGAGGAGGTCTGGTGCTAGAATTAAAATCCATGATCTTGTGTTCGTGGCATACCTCACGTGTGGGACAATCGCTATTTGTGTGCATGTGGTACCAATGTGTGCGCAGGTACATTGCTGGAAATGAAGTGGTTAAACCCCTCTCCCCACATCCCACTTAATTTTAACCCCCCCCCATATCCTTCTTTTTTTAGCTTTATTGTTCTTACATCTTGGCGCTAATAAAGGTTTTAAAAAATAGAGGACTATGGTTCTGCTTTACTGTTTTTAGTATCCATAATGTATGACACTGGAGAACACCGGAGGGAAGATTTGACCTGTACAACAGTACCGATAGGAGGATTGGAGAAGGAGTTGTCTTATTGCACGCAGGTATATGCATTATGGTGTGATGAGCAAATCTTGACCTGTTTATGAGATTTAAGAGTAGGGTGAGCATGTTTTTCACCTGTTTTGTGGAGGCATGTTTGTCACAAGAGGAAGTTTGAAGATTTTTGTGTCACATTTCACACGGTGGTGTTTTATAACACGGCAAAAAATACTTTGGTCTCTTTATTTCATGTTGATTTTGAGGAGTTGTTGTGAAATCACCTACACATTGTTTAAGCAAGCAATACTATTTATTTTATAAGTATTTTTATTGATCTATTTGTGTTTACTGAGATTGCGCTAATTGAAATCGGTTTTGATTAATCACTAATAATGCATTGCAAAAGATCACTCTCACCCAAATTTTATCTACAAGTTGAGTAGAGACCAAATCTAAATTTAGTAATACATGAATTGTGTTTATTAGGGCAAAAAATATATTATTTTGGCAATATTTTCTTGCAAAATTATTTTATTTTTAATGCAATCTATGCACAAAGACATAAAAAAAAGTAAAAAAGACCAACTTTGACTAGTTTAAGTTTTAAAACTAGTGAGTGAAGCAATATAAATTCTATTCTGTAATTTGTCCACTTAACTGACACTAAAAGTTTGATTCTGGTACAAAGCATGACAGTTATTTGCAATGAAAAAAAATATGTTTTTCAATTATGCATATTTTTAATGCTACATTAAAACGTTAACACAATAAATTAAAATGAAAAAATAATATATAAATGGCTAAAAAAAATCAGCAGATAAAGGTAGGAAAGAGTTAAGAGTTATTAGGGTCAACTATGGGATAATAAGGGGTAAAATGCTAGAAGGGTTGCTTTAACTGACAACCTATGCACGATTAAAGGTCACCCCTTTGATTCCTCCATTCACTTCATTTATGTGGATGAAGGGATTCATTTTTTTTGTTCTCTTACTGTTCACCTTTTTGTGCACTTACTGAACGAAAAAAAAAATGAATCTATGGCCAGCTTTACTATAACCACTCTCTCACAGGAGTGGTTTGTTGCTTGCAGTATTATGGTATTAAGATTTTCAATGCAATTCATAAAGCAGGATTATGGACCCCTTGTATCGATCAACCAATATGTGAAACAGGAATACAAAAATGTGGGGTTACTTGGCAAGTAAAGGCTTGTTTTAAGTTTTATATGAATTTTATTTCAGTACCCCTGTATAATTAGACAGGCCCAACATATACACTGCTCAAAAAAATTAAAGGAACACTTTTTAATCAGAGTATAGCATCAAGTCAATTGAACTCTTGGGATATTGATCTGATTGTTAAGTAGCAGATGGGGCTGTTTCAGCTGCTTTGGTGTTAATAAAATGAATAACAGGTGCACTAGATGGGCAACAATAAGACGACCCCCAAAATAGGAATGGTTTTTCAAGGAGGACACTGACATTTTTTCCCTACTCATCTTTTCTGACTGTTTTTCACTATATTTGTATTTGGCTAGTGTCAGTGTCACTACTGTTAGCATGAGGCGATACCTGGACCCTACAGAGTTTGCACAGGAAGTCCAACTCCTCCAGGATGGCACATCAATACGTGCCATTGCCAGAAGGTTTGCTTTGCCTCCCAGCACAGTCTCAAGAGCATGGAGGAGATTCCAGGAGACAGTCAGTTACTCTAGGAGAGCTGGAAGGTCCTTAACTCATCAGCAGGACCAATATCTGCTCCTTTGTGCAAGTAGGAACAGGATGAGCACTACCACAGCCCTACAAAATAACCTCCAGCAGGCCACTGGTGTGAATGTCTCTGAAGAAGCAATCAGACACAGACTTTATGAGGGTGGCCTGAGGGCCTCTAGTGGGCCCTGTGCTTACTGCCCGGCACAGGTCATTGAACACCAAGATTGAACACCAGGATTGGCAGCTCCACCACTGGCACCCTGTGCTTTTACAGATGACAGCAGGTTTACCCTGAGCACATGTGACAGACGTGAAAGGGCCTGGAGAAGCTGTGGAGAACATAATGCTGACTGTAACATCGTTCAGTATGACCGTAATGGGTCAATGATGGTCTGGGGAGGCATATCCATGGAGGGACGCACAGACCTCTACAGGGTAGACAATGGCACCCTGACTGCCATTAGTTATCGAGATGAAATCCTTGGACCCATTGGGTCCTGGGTTCCTCCTGGTGCACGACAATGTCCGGGCTAATGTGGAGAGAGTATGCAGGCAGCTGCTGGAGGATGAAGGAATTGATACCATTGAATGGTCCCCATGTTTGCCTGACCTAAATCCAATAGAACACCACTGGGATATCATGTTTCGTTCCATCCGACGTCGCCAGGTTGCACCTCAGACTGTCCAGGTGCTCAGTGATGCACTGACCCATATCTGGGAGGAAATACCCCAGGACACCATCCGTTGTCTCATTAGGAGCATGCCCCGATATTGTCAGGCATGCATACAAGCATGAGGGGGCCATACAAACTACTGAGTACCATTTTGAATTGCTGCAATGAAACTGCAGCAAAAATGGACTAGCCTGCTGCATAATTTTTTCACTTTGATTTTTGGGGTGTCTTTGAATTCAGACCTCTGTAGGTTGATCATTTTCATTTCCATCAAAAGATGGGTCATCCTAATGTTCCTAACACATTACCCAGTCCATACCAGTATAGATATCCAGCATGATACTTTTCCCCACTGAGATCTGATGTGTTTTCAAAGTGTTCCTTCAATTTTTTGAGCAGTGTATATCTAAAATAACCAGGTTATCCACAGCCTCTCTAGCACTCACTAGGCATGAGGCCATGTCTGATGCCCTGCCAATACCATATACTTGCTCTACTATGTTTTAGATTTCACTGAGGAAATCTGAGCTTGTGTTAGCACCTAAAATCAGTGATTTTAGATAACCATTCTCATTCTCTCAGAGAATAAGACATCCAGGCATCAGGGTAAAATCAAGAGAAAGTAACAGGAATTA